GCTCTATGGAATTTAACATGGGATTGCATGTTAATCCTATGACATAGACTTAACATGGGCCAATGTTATAATATGGGTAATGTTAACCTTATGCGGAATTACTTCTTATGGGAAAGCGAAATATGATAGAGTAGTTTATCTTTATGTTAATCCAATGGGACTAATGTTAAATCTATGGGAGAATGCATTAACATGGGTTTTTATGAAATTACAGCTTAAATCTATGACATAGAGATAACATGAGTAATGATAAATCTATGGGAGTAATGTTATTTCAATGGGATAATGCTTTTTTTTATGGAAATATACTAAATGAATCTGCTATAATAAATAGAACTAATTGTTGTCAAAATCAATTAAAATACTCAAAATAACAATAGTTAAAGTATTCTAACAATAGTATTGAAAACTTTAAAATGTTTGATGCATTTCCCGAATAGTGGTTAACGTATAGCAACGCTGTGTGTGAGTTGTTTTTTAATTTAAATATGAAATAATTTTTGCTAATAAATAAGCTGGAATATTGACATGTTTTTAATTAAATTAATACATATTATTTAATTTAATATTATACTTTAATACATTCAATTTTAATTTTTTTCACCATACATGACTTTATGTTTACAGTAACTCACCAATATGCAATAATTGCTACATTTGCATTAGACGAGTTATTTTAATTTTTTAACATTAAAATTTAAAGACTTTGACTCAAACAAATATTTCGATAACATTTGTTGCAATTTAATCGCCGGTAACTCAAAAACCATTGCTAATAAAATACCCATAATATATACGACACACAATAATACTGCCACATAAATAATACTCGTTAAAATATTATGCGGTTGTGGTAAAATGGAAAATATGATCAAGCACATATGTCCGTGTAGTATATACGTGGTCTGTTGTGAGGCCCGGAATGGGCGCCAAAACCCGGCGGACAGGAAACGTGTCAAACGGCCGCCGCTTTCGCGCGCATAGACTATACCATAACACGATAGACACGATAGGCAGAGGTCAGTCACAGCGCGTTCACCGGCGCTGAACACCGGGAGCTCACCAAACAGTGTCGATCGTCTCAGGAGACATATCGTTGCAATTAATACCATAATAGATGTTAATGCTCGACAGGTTGTGATAACCAGACGACTATTATATAAAATGCGTGAATAACCATGCTCAATTAAACTATATAGTAAAAGCCCGTTGAGATACGCAGTGGCCGAACTGAATGGTCGTATGTATAGTAATTTAAATGAAGTGTTGTTTGATCTTGGTGAATTGTATAGATATATTAATCATTAGATTTTTTTATTAGGGATTAATTTGTATTCATATTTATTATGTTTGTTTACAAACATCGTTTACTTACGGTATAGGAGTCCAGAAAATATTGCTAAAAGTAAAGGTCGATTCAAGCGTTTCTGTTGTAATACCGTTGGAAAACATGGTATAAAACGTATTGATTGCCAGCAAAACATTACATGTAATTACGAATAGAGCTCCCAATTTGAAATGTCTGATTTTTAAAAATTATAAATATTGTTAAATTTTTAACCACTATTCTGATATGAATAATGTGATTAATAGGATCGTTCGGCCCCCTCCCCCTCCCCCAGTATGGGATTTAACATGGGATTACAGCTTAAGTCTATGGCTATTTTGTGACATGGGATTCTTGAGTCTATGGGGAATTAACATGGGATTACAGCATAAGTCTATGGCTATACTTTAACATAGGTAATGCTAAGTCTATGGCAATGATAAGTCTATAGGTAATGCTAACTCTATGGCATAGAAATATTATGAGCATTGTTAAGTCTACGGGAATAATGATAAGTATATGGACAATGCTAACTCAATGGAACTAATGCTAATCCTATGGACTAATGTTAAATCTATAAACAATACTAAGTCTATGGGGAGTGCTAATCCTATGGACTATCTATTAAATGTGTAGATAATGCTAATCTATTCTTTATGCATCACCCGAATAGTAGTTAACGTATAGCATCGCTGTGTGAACCTTGTTTATATTAGTGTATAGTCATTTATTGTCGAAATCATGAATGCTGCTTAGTTTTTGGGGGCGAAATGCACTGTAATCTATGGGTAGACCCGTTGTCTTACATAGACATCCAAATGACAGACAACTGGGTCTACCCATAGAAAACGCTACCAGCATTCGGGGAACTAAGCAGCATTCATGATTTCAACAATATTTAATGTTTGTTTACTTTATTTTACCTGCTTAATAATATCATAAATAGTGGCGTAAATATTACCAACTGTACCAAAACAAATAATGACCATGTATAAGCCATGCACTGTAATGTAATATTAATGTTTGGGTTACAAATAAAGATTATATTCAATAACTCAAAATTGAAAATATGATTAATTAATTAAATATTTTTAATCACCATGTTGCCGACATAATTAGCGATAAATAGTATATTAAAAATGCAATTATCTTCACATAAATTGGTCACTCGTTTGCGATCGTAAAAGTGATCGGAAATCATATACTTGACACAAATTATGTAAAAATAAATGTATATATAATATATGGGAACTATTCGTCCGATTCTATCGAAATAGTATCTTATGGTAAGTTTAATGACTTTGCGATTATTATTGATATCCATGTCTTTGTCCATCAATTGTCGGGTAAACCATTTCATTGACGCCAAACCATTTGTCGTGAACCCCATTCCCATAATTGATCTTGCAAACATAATTAATACAAAACTGTTCCAAATTATATAAAGCTTATAATTATTATAGAATATTGCATAATTCAACAAGGTTTATAAGGCAAAATATATTTTTAAAACTTAAAAGCATTTGACTATACTGTGATTAAAAATTATATCATAATATTAGTTATTGGCTATTAGTTATTTATAAAAAAAATTAGCTCAAACTTGTGACCATGAATTATTTACTTTATTATAATTTATAAATAATAGCCATAGTTTGGCATTTAACTAAATTTATTATAAATACTATCAGAATTTTATTAACCATAAAAACGATAAAAATGATACGTTTATGGTAAAAGTTGTTTATTTAATAATTCATTTGAACTTGTTGAAATTATACTTATGATAAGCAATTATTACTAATTCCGATGACCACTAAGAAAATCAAGTGATCCCGTGTTGAAAAATACTATAAACATTATGATATGGCTGACCACTACCAGAGCGTTGATCAGCACTCGGATGCCGTTCACCGTATTGTGTCCGTCCATAGGCTGACCATCGGTTTTGGTAACGCGAATCGAGTCATAATAGTTAGCGATTAGGGAAAAGCAATTCAGGATTTTGTTGCTATTGTTATTATAACATTGTTTTGTCGGAAAATATATTATTAACATGTGCTTAATTGTGGCCCAAAACACAATTGCTGTCCATATAGATATGAATGCACTAAATAGTATTATATCTAACATGGTTACTTTATTAATAACTATGCAAATAACATTAGAATAACACTACTAACTTTTATATTGTTTTAATTAATTTAATTATTTTAAGGTTAAATTGATATTAATAAACTGGTTAAAACATAATCAAATGAATTTATATAAAACCAAATAATGTTGTATAGTTTATATTAAAATATTAATAATAAGCCAAACTATTATGTAGAGACATATGCCAAGCATATGCCTGCTATCTTTTAAATAGATAAAGTTAATGATTTACTAGATGTCTATTATTAGGCTCATTAACCTTGATCCATTCAGTATATGAATGGAGTTTTTATATTATAATAGCGCCAACATTAGAATAGTTACCTGAGTTTAGTAAACTAAATTAGCTAATTGTAATTGTGTACAAAGCCTGTGGTAAAATTTTTTACAAAATCTCATTGCTTTATCATGTTGAATTTCACAGAATAGTTTTAATTACTTAATTCCAAGTTTTATATTATTATGTGCCCTGAGCATATTTTAAATAAATACATGTATAGACAAAAGATCCCCGAACTATATTTAAAATATTCAACAATGTTCTGGTTATAAATATTTTTGTAATTTTGATAGGTAGAAAGCACTCAAATATTATAATACATTATTGGATAAATATTTAATTATGTATTTATTATAGTTTAGGTTAGAACTAAATAAATTTATATAAAATACGATGATGATACAAGTGCTTATAAACCAAAATAATAAAAACTGTAACGTTTAAAGTAATTGTTGGCTTTATTGTGATTAATGTAAAATAAGTGCTAAATAAATCAAGACTTGAATTGATTAACTAAAATGATGTCAATAAAGTAAGATTTTGATAAATGTTTGTAAGTGGCACTTAATTACCAGATTATGATAAATTGGATTTCAATTACGATAATTCAATAGCAGTTTATCAGCAAAAAACAAAAGTAAAATTACATTTTTATTATTTAATAGTTAGCAAAAACATTTCAATTGAAACACTAATAACTTATAATGTTTTCGTTGAAAGCCGTTGTGTTTATTAGTGTGGTTTCCGGTCTGTGGAGTGACTGTTGGGCACTCTATCCGCGCGAATCCGAGACCAGAGATGTGCGACTGTTGGACGACGTCTGGCACTTCCGGGCCATACCTTTGGGCGACGACCAGAACACAGGGTTTGACAAGAAATGGTTTGAAAAGCCGTTATCAGAGGTAAGACTTTCTCGACGAGAGAGAGAGAGAGAGAGAGAGAGAGAGAGAGAGA